AAAATGAACTGAATATAGTGTATTTCTGGGAGTTACAAACTTAATTTCCCTTTACAACTTGTTTTAATGTGACAGATAAACTTCTACTTTCTAAAATCACAATGTGTTGTGTATTTATGCACATTTTAAAAACAATTATACTCAATAATTAGTTGTTATTGTTGTGTAATTGTGCTCACTTACGTAAAGTAAGTCAATTAACGTTAAATTTGTTAGTTGGGTCTCTGTATTTTGAAAGTAATTACCGGAAGTGGTAGTATGCTCTCATGCCTGCATTGACGCTATTTTTACGGATTTATTGTGTTGTAGTTCTACACTGTGACCACGGGGGGGCAGCAAACACTCGTGATAAAACACTCAGGTCAACTATCTATCTTTCGGTGGCTTTGACGTTATTTAATACTAAGAAATAATAATGAAATAATAATCCTCATTGTTTTCTCATTCTAATAATGTCACCCGTACTGATACTTTTAAATAATCAGTGCTGGAGGAGAAGAGACGCTAGTTAGCACTAATGCTAGCTAGTTAGGTAAAAACCCTAAAACCTCATCCTCTGCTTTAAAATATATAATTATCACTATTAACACACGTATTCTTCCCACTTTAGAGTTATCGCCTAACTGTCACCATTAGAAAATAATAAACATCATGATTTCGTGATTGTTTCTTTAGTTTTAGATGGTGTCCGTTTGGTCACTGTAATTTGAAAGTATTCACCGGAAGTGTTGGAGTAGGATGTCATGCCTGCATTGACGCGAGCTTTTAACTTGGTGTGTTGTAGTTCCCCGCTGTGACCACTAGATGGCGGCAAACACTCATACTTTTATCTCAACAAGCACATGAAGTGGACTACAAATTAGTTTGCGTCGCAAATGAAAATTCACTAATGCCAAACCAATATTCACTGTATTTAAGAAAGAAATTAAATTGTATATTGGAACGATAGCTTTCTTGTTTTGGGATGAGGTTATCAAAATGGTGAAATTATGCACTTCACTTTTATATTTATAATATTTATATAACCCACATATCTTTTATTTCTTTTTCTTTTTTATTTATTTATCTTTGTGAATTCTTTGTCTTTTCCTTACCAGGAGAATATAAACATTGTATGTTTTGTACCCATTCTGATTGTCTGTATGTTGTACTGAAGCAATTGTTTTCAAGTTAAAAATAAATAAAGTGGAACTACAAATGTTTGTATAGTATAGAAATATAAAACATATTGATCTCACTTTCTTGAACCGGCTGTAATATTAGTAAAAGTAAAAGTTAATATGAAGGTTTTTCAATGTGGACAACACAAAGCAAGGAGGTAGTAAACACAAAATGGGGATTTGACGTGCCTTAAAACTCAGAGTTACTAACATTGTATTTTAATTAAATCCCTTCAAATTTAGTTGTTATTATTATTTATTTTTTGTTGTTTGCTGCTCAGATTTAATTTTAGGTTCATTTAACATTACTGAAGATGCCTGTTAATTAAAGATGTTCGTAAAGTTTATTTTTTTTAAATACCGGAGACGCAGCTACGCACTGCGGCCGCTAGAGGGCGCCAAACACTCACGACCACCATCAACTCTGCAAGCGTCAAGAGGCAGACATGATAGTGTATTAACACTTCCGGTGAAGACATTCAAAATAAAACCATAACAGAATATGCTTCATAAAATAAAATGAATAAAACAATCAATATCAAACCAGAAACATACATCTATTATACTTTCATAATAACAATCTGAAATGTTAGAAAGCGTTGACGGTAGGTTAGCATGTTCCAAGCTATATGTATTGTTCGTTAGTCAAGACCTACAAGGCTATGCTAAGTCAAAAGGGCCTTTGTGTTAACTGTGATGTTTTGTGTGATTCTTGTTTTCACTTGTGAAAATTTCTGTTGCATTTTCTTTATTACATTCGTCTTTACTCGTTTCTTTTTGCTGTATGCATTTTAATGCACTGAGTTTACTTGTTCAATTTTAAACTTCTGCAACATGGTTACAAACCTTATTAAAACCCGGGTAGGTTGGAAACTTGTCATAGTGGGTAACTTACACCTTGTTGCATTACATTGCTTCAGATTTAACCAAACACGCCAAAATAAAAAGGTGTTAAATCACTTTTGCCCAGCAGTCTGTGTTTAACGGATGCAAACTCACCAGCAGCACTCAGGTTAGTCAGATCAGTATCTGGCAATCAAAAAAAGGATGAAACAATCATTTGAATTAACATTTATTCATGAAAAGGTCGTGTAGAGACCATAGAGTCCATTAATGACAAGTGTCCATCCAGACATGCGGCGATACAGGAAGAAAAATACAGCACACAATTAAACCGTTCTTTAAAAAATAAAATCAGTGCACAGATAATCTTACAAAGATTGCATAATATAAAGAAAGGTTATAAAATTTCCCAGAAATAGTGCAATTTTACCACCACCGGGGAAAATAAAATGAAACCTGCTCCACAAATGATGCCAATCTGCTTAAATGCTCCACTTTCCACCGAGTGGAAGAGTTGGTTCTCTTTAACTAGGTGAGATGCTTTTTGTTCTGGAGGCAGGGGTAAGAGGAGCGCAAAGAAAAGCCGATGACATTTGGGCGGCTACATGTTACTGAAACTGACAAACTCACAGAACACACATGACTGTTGGGAGTACAACAAGTTCTTTTGTGAACAAATACCCTGCATTGCACTTGGGAAAACAAACATAAGACATACATATTACATGAAAACCCCAAAATCCCATCCACCCTCGCGACACGTTAAGCTTAATGCAGAGCCAGTGTTTTACTTTGTTCACTATTCAAGGGAACCAGGCTACATGTGTGCAAAAAACAAACAAAAACAGGGTTTAAAGGAAGTTTTCACATTTAAAAAGGACGTTATTCGCCCAATTGTGCATGGACGGAAACCCAAGCATTACTTCCTCTCACAAGCGTAATTGAATCTTTTGTGTAAAGCAGTCTAATGTGTGTAGTGAATGTTTGGGAAGTCAATCGGCCTCGTACTCAATTCATGAAGCACTTCACAATCCTCTGTACATCAGTTCTTAACTTCAGTTAAAGATGACACAGAAGTTAAAACAAGCAAATAAAAACCTCTAACAGATAAATGGAAGCTACAGCTTAAACACATGATCCCAGACGCGTTGTGCAAGACAGAAAAACTCACCACCACAAGGCAAATGTGCCAACGCTCCGAGAGTCAGACACGTGACGGAGCTCAAAAGGAATTCGTGTTGGATATTTTATTCAAACAAGTTTGTATAATTCATATCAAAAACCTACGGCTGTCTTTAAAACAATCGTCTTCCCATGACAAATAGACCAACTTCCCAAAAAAACAGGTATGCAAGAGGTATATAAAACAAACAAACCCGACTGTAATTAAATCCTGCACAACCAACCTGCAACAAACATTTCCTCCGCAAAAGAGTCATACAGTCGAGTAAAAGATCTGATGAGGAAGCTGGTCAATTTGTTATCATTTAAAAAATAAAAGTCAACCCAACAGATCACATATTTGTCAAGTCTGTTCAACAAAGTGTCTTAAATTCCCTTTAACCGTATCGTCCTCTCACCTGAATGTCAAGAAAAAATTACAATATATCGGTTTGCTGATAGGTATTGCACCAAAAACCCACCTGTTTGAACAAATACTAGATTATGCAGACATAGTCGCAGCTACACAAAAGTATATACAGCACTATAAACACGCACACACACGCACACCAAACAGGCTAGATAGAGTTAACAAAACACAGCTGCGTGATTAAAAGTGGCACCAAAGTGAAACAGAGTGACGACAGGAGCTCAACAGAGCGGTCACTGCTGAGTTACAGACCCTCCGTCTCATCGGAGGCCAAACGTACATTCAGATATCTGTTATCAAAAATCCTTCCGTCTGGATCTGAAAACAACCTCGAGCTTCACCTGTCCACGTCTGAGGTCGTCGGCCCTGGCTAACGTCTGGCGAGGGCAGCGTGCTACATGTACTGGTGTGCATATAATCTACACTACAGCTAAAAGCTAAACCTGCAAAGGAAGGCCACAAATCATCTATCCAAAAACCCTCGTCCCAACATCCGGCTGCCACATGTCAATAAAATCGGCCTCCTCGTGAGCGTGCATGCTGAAACACTCGGTCCTGGAGAACGTGAATGGTGGTCTGGATGTGAAGATGTGCATGCTGGTGTAAAACGAGGAGAAGGGACACGGGTGTTCAGCCTTCAGAGGAAAATAAAACACTTGTTTGTGACGTTGGTGTCTTTGTAAAGACTCAAATTCAGACATTTCCTCATCCCGCTGCCCCGCATCAATTATAGAACTATTATGCAAACTGTTAATGCACATGCTACTGACACTAAAGAACAAAAAGTACTTTTCAGTTTCAATACGTGAGGAGGTGTGGTAGTGTGATTTTCTGAGATGTGCTGCTTTGGTACGATCGTGGATGGATCCCAGTTGTGGTAGTGCTTAAAAAACAGTTTCACAAAACACAATAGACAAGAACATCCGAAGAGACGAGCAAACACACCGACTGTAACGCCTCCCACAGAGGGGAGCGAACGGGAAGGATTACAAAGCATAATATTATATGTTATTTATATATATATATATATATATATATATATATATGTTGCTTTTACGGACTCCCTGTGAAGATAAAAAAAACACCATAAGAAAGAGGATTAGGTGTCGCATCAGCGTGCCGAGAAGGACTGCGGGCCCCCCTCGTTCAGTGCGATTCAGAGAAGACGGAGCACCAGTGGACGAGGGTAACGCACACCTCAGACCCAGAGACAGGGGCCTTAACAGCCCTGAGCCTGAACACACAACAACAGTCCCGGTGAAACGAGCCCCCACCCAGTTTGTTTAAGGGCCGTCGGTTTGCGTGGAGCGGGCGAGTGCTGGCGTGAACCCTTAGGCGCTGAAGCCTGGCATGTGGGGGTCGGTCAGTCCTGGTCAGTGGCCCGTCTGCTGCCTCTCAGTTGTGGTTCAAAGCTGGTGCACGATGCTGTCCGTGTGGTTGACTGGAACCGGGCCGTCCTGGCGCAGACGCTGCCACTGAAAAGTTGTGCTCAGGGAGCCGACCTCGTCCTCCTCGTTCTCCTGCTCCTTGGCAAACTCCATAAACACCTGCAGGACGGGGAGACGGGAGGGGGCATCATTCAGAGGACTTGTTTGATTGTTTCAGCACACATGTGAACTTACCGCGTCTGGCATCTGTGGTGGAAACTGGTGTGTTTTCCGCCTACCTGCTCTAACGTCGACTGGGAGAAGTTGTACTCCTCAAAGTTGAAGGTTTGCTTGGCTGAAGATAAACAGAGATTAGGAAGATAAATGACACAGAGTGAGTCAGCAGATCCAACGTGTCCCAGATGGCTGCTGTGTGTGTGAGACAGAGACAGACTGCAGCAGTGACTCACCTCTCTCCAACTGGGAGAAAGACTTGGCCAGTGAGCTGACGTCCTCCGTGGGGATCTTGTAAACCATCAGAGTAGCAAAGCTGCAAAGTAAGCATCATAAATGTTTGAATATGACGCGCTAAATTATGAACAGGGCATTTCGTGGTTTTAGCGGAGCTTTTATTTTGAAGTGAACCTTTAACACTTTACTTTCCAAAAGAACAAAAGAATAAGAAAAGTGTTGCTAAATTAGTAAATGTAGAATTTAAATGCAGACCGTTTACACTTAACAGAACGTCTAGCGACTACTGACTTCCGCTAGCTTAACTTCCTCTTTCTGTTCTGGACTTTATATACGTTACTTTGAACAAGCCTGAGGGGAATGTTTGATTATTTTGATCCATTTCTTTTTCCTCTTTGTTCTGGACTTTTGTCAAATTTGACAGAACTCGGAAGTGGTGTGTTCCCCCTATATTCTGTGCACCGTGCGTTTCGACCAAAGGAACTAAACCCTGGAACTAGTTGTCCGCCTGAGATCGTACGTCGGCATTAAATGTATTGCTCAGAAACAGCAGCCAGCGTGCAGCAGCGTTACCTGTGAACAGCTGATGGCGTTACGCTAAATACCGGGTCCTGAGTTGTTGTTTTAAGTTTTCACCAGTCAGGAAGTTTCTGCACAGAGCTGAAGTCGGTCTCCTCCTCTCCAAAACAAGTGGAACAGCTGATTACAGCAGGTAATTGAGCTCGTTAAACATCCCGTTCCTCCGACCCTCAGGCGACACAGACGTGATGCTGCAGCTGGTCTGCAGCTCTTGTCGGCTGGAAATGTTTTAATAACCTTCCAAACGGTCGCGATTTTATTTATTGAGTTGCTTTCTCTCAAATTTTAGCGCATCTCTCCATTACACTCCCACACAAAAAAGCTGTTTTTAATGGTCACACACATCCTGTAGTTTTCCACTATATTCCAGTCAAATCTGATGTTCATTTATAAATTTTGCTCATGGATAGTGGTTACAAATAATGATGCCTGTGCGTCGCTTTGTACTGCGTGCAGGCCAACAGCCTTCGTCAGCTGGTTCATTTGCCTAATCTTCGCAGGTCACGGTAGAAACGCACACAACAGTGGGCTGAAGGAACTGGTTAATTCCTTGGAAAGAGATCTGGGGACTTGGGTTCTTTTGGTTGAAAAGCGTTGTTCGTTGGGCTAGCTTCCAGTACTCATTTATCAAATCTATGTGGTGCTGGTATAAGAACAGCGCGTACAGTGTGTGGGTGAGCGAGTGGTAGAAAGTGACTGTGAAAGCTTGCATTGGAAAGGATTCGCAGTAGGTTGTCAGTCAGGCAGTGAATATTGTTAAAGAAAGGATGATGGTGACCCGCTGAGGAGCTGAGGTCAGTAAAGCAAATTAGGGGTGCAAACTAGTCCTTTTAAGCTAATGGGGAGACGTTTCTTCTGGATTTTAATGTGCGCAATGTGCAAATTAAATGCTTGATAATTATCCAGGAATCCTGTAAAGAAAAGATAATGATAATTGTTTTATCATCACACTGCAGTCCTCTGAATCGTGAGGTGCCTAGAGATTCCCACCGCTAAAGGACAGAACAGAACATTTATGCAAGACTGTGAATGCTTTGTTTCTGCACAGCTGCAGGGAAGTTGTGCTGACGTTACACTCAATACACGACGATTCAGTTGACCTGGGTCTCACCTCTCCTGCCGGGCAGCGTGAGGGAAGATTCGGAGGATCTCTTTGTGCAACAGCGCCACCTGCTGGAGCCCCGTCAGCTCCTCTCTGAGTTTTACCTCCAAACTGTAGCTTCGACCGTATTTCCCTTTTAAATGTTGGATGGAGCCGATACATCTGAAACACAGACAGAGCACTGAGCGATCCAGATATCTGCCCTTTCAGAGTATGCCCCGTACGCTGTGGGGTACCTACCTGAGCTGGCCGGAAACCATGATAGCTACGCGGTCACAGACGGCCTCCGCCTCCTCCATGTAGTGCGTGGTGAGGATGGCTCCCCGCTGACGATTCTTGAAAGCGGCACGCATGGCCCTCCTACAGAGAAACAAAAGGAGACACTGCAGTCAGAGACTGATTTTAAATACGACAGAAAGACAAACAGCAACAGCACGGCCCTGTGAAGACACAAATCCTCCACAGTCAAGATAAATAATGAATTCTTTCCGCTCTACAGCTGAACCTACTGACCAAAGTTACCACAGAGGAGAACTACTTTAAAAAGTTGACTTTGATGTGAGAGACCCGGATTCGATTCCCACTGTGACACGTCCACCAATGTGTCCCTGAGCAAGACACTTAAATAGGGCTGTACATCACGATTATTTTCCCAAGTCGATTAATCTAATGATTATTTTTTACGACTAATTTTGTGTATTCTAAAGAAAAAAAGTTGCCTATTACTCAATTAACATACGACTTAATCCAAAATAAATATCAAAAACATGTCTAATCAATAAATCAGTATTTTCTTCAATCATCCTGATGAAGCACATTAGAATAATGACAATAGCAGCAGATCTTGAAATGAATAAAATTTCCTATTTCGTGTTGTCATAATAACAACAATAACAGAGAGTGATGAGGCTACTTTACTTAAAACTTTAAATGCAGTATGATAATCAAATGTGTTTCTGCATCAGTGTGGGGCAAAGAAAACAACCGAAACGATTCACAGACTGTGCAGACAGCCACAGATTGTCTGTAATGTCAGTTTCAGCTGTCTTCTCGCTCATACGTTGCCGTTAAATAAACAGAAAATATGAAAGGGCCGAACGTTAGATGACACACGGTGTAACAAAGCGGCAGATGGCCCGACGATTTCACCCACCACCACGTTGCCCGCGGGCGGCGGCTGCTGCTTTCATTCCCTGCGTGGCACAAACGTTTCTGTGGTGTCAGCTTCTGTCAAGCTTAAGGCCGTGGCCGACGGTCGCGGTCTGCTAGCTGGAGCTTGTCCTGAAGAATCCCTCACAAACACCGGATGCAGCAACGCTTAGATGCACGAGTTGACGTAATTAACGTAATAGATCTCGTCGACGGATCGCCCCCAGCCCTATTCGCAAACCCCTGGTTGCTCCGGAGGCGTGCGACCTCCAGCGTATTTAGCAATTGTAAGTCGCTTTCGATAAAAGCGTCAGATTAATGAGTAAATGTAAGAACAAGATTGAAATGGACTATTTAAATACATTTTATTTAAATAAAAAAATCAAATAATAATCTTACGTTTCCTTTAACAATGAATTTAACAGTTTAACACGTTAGAATCTAGAAAGGTTAAGGGATGTTAGTATGTTGGGGATGTTTGTGGCGAGTATAGTCTCACCACATGCGCTGTTTAGACTTAGGGTCCATCCCTGACGACGGCTCATCCAGTAAGACGATCTGGGGATTCCCAATCATACTCAAGGCAAAGCACAACTGTAAACAAACAACAGTGTAGTCAAACTGTTACAAAACAGATAAAATACATGAATTAAAAGTGTAAATTTAGATGTCGAGGGAAGATACAACACTACACAAATTATATTTTATTATTCAACATGGCAAAACACAAATTTTATTCCATAAAGTCAAAAATGGTCCGAGAAGCTGTCTGCATTGAGTCATTTTAGTGGTCCAGGTGAAATTTAAGTTAATTTGTAAATGCTTTGCGGTTTATTTTTATGTTAACTCTTCAATCTAAAGTCTGATGGATTCTTTAAAACACTTTATCTGAGTGAGTTTGGGCTTTGTATAGTTAAAATGGTGAACAGGTTCTCACCTTCCTCTTGAGTCCTGCTGACAGGGTCTTGGCTTGTTTGTTCAAGTGGTCCTTTAGCTCCAGAGCGTTCACCACACTGACAACAACAACAACAACAACAGTCGCAAAACTGTCAGCAACTTTAACATACTTCACTCTACCTACTACCACAAGAAAAAGTAAGGTATTCTTGAATCTCTTCCATCATTTAGGAAATAAATTAACACTCACAACACAAAGTTATCACAGTCAGTATCTGACTTTGCCCCCGTGCCATTCATTTGCTGTGCTGAGTAGGTGGAATAATAAGATACCGTTTCTGAATTTTAAAAACAAATGGCCAACCACAGGATGTCATCTTTAAACAGATCAGAGATGCAAAAAACAAACACATTTGATAAATCGTCTCACTGGAGGAGGGAGGCTACAGATTATAATCCAAACCTTGTCACACTACACATTTGTGTCTGTAATAGTGAACGGAGGCTCACCGTCTGATGATAGCCGGTACGTCCTGTCCTTTCAGGCCCTTGATGGCAGCGTAGATCTCCAGGTGCTCCTGCAGAGTGATCCTGGGCCACAGAGGGTTCACCTGTGGACAGTAGCCCACATGTTCCAAAGGATTGTCCACTTGACGAAACTCTGTGCTGTAGTCCCCCATCAGCACCTGGACAAAGAAAATAAAAGTTTACATTCAAATAAAAGTATATGATGTTTCTAAGACCTGGAAACATAAGTGCAGATTCTTTTAAACTTAACACATTGAACAATTCGGCTTTAGAATGTGTTTCTTTATACAAATATCTTGGTATTTGGTTGGATAGTAAACTCTCTTTTAAGACCCATATTAGAGTCCGAGTCTGTTTAATGTGCTGCCTTACGTTTTATTACTGGGGAAAGTTTTTATACACACCACAACATATTTATTTATTTATATATATTTATATGCTGCGGTTGGCTGGGATTCCCTGTTCTCAAGAAGGGCTAGACACTTTTCATTTTTTACACAAAGTCCAATTCAAACAGCTCTTACCATACACAATCACGGGACTGGATAGTTCTGGAGGTTCCCTGGGTTTATACTAAGATAGGTAAACATCATTTTCCATCCGTGCCACTCAAGTCTAGTTTTAAGTGTATTTTTTGAAAAACCTTGTGTTACAGGGCACCACTGTAAACGAGACCTCGGTCTCAGTGGGTTTTTCCTTGTATAAATAAATAAGAAACATGATAGGGTTTGTTACAGAATTACAATGACCAAAGATCAAATGGACATCAATTTCTTTCATATTAATTGTTTAAATATCAGGTTGAAGTAGAATAATCAAATGATATTATTATGCTCACATCTTTATTGAGTTGGTGCAGACGTGTACATGTGTAGCTAACCCAACCTCAATGTTAGAATAGTGCAACAAAAACACCAGATATTTCCATTTAACCCCAGAAGGTTACATGAGTGAAAGTCTTAAATGGGGACCAGGAACTAATATTCCACAGGACAGACAAGGAGAGTAGCTTTAAGGTTATCTGTAGCGTACCTGGCCTGCAGTGGGGTCAGTGTCACCTGACAACATATGCATGATGGTGCTCTTTCCTGCTCCATTGGGGCCCAGCAGTCCAAGAACTTCGCCTGGAGAAACAACAGTTCTGTTTTTTTCTAAAATGAAGACCATGGCTGAACTTTTGTGACTAGCTTCCTAACGGATCGGGAACAGCCCAAACATAAAGGACTAAAAACATACCTTTGCGAACACAGAAGGAGATATTCTTTGTGGCCACTTTCCTCGTCTTGTTCAGAGAAAAACCTTCTCTTCTGCCCTTGTGCTGCTTCCTCAGGTTACTCACAACCACCACTGGCTTCTAAATGGACAAGACACAGCGAAGAGAGACTAAATTAACTTATGATGGGTGAAAAACATACTATGAATAAAAAGAAATCCTGCAAATTCAGGTTCTCGATCATCAACCGAGACACAATTCAACAGCTCCAAAAGATTTTCACTCACCTCTTCACAGGACTGGCAGGTCAGGGCCTCCTTCACTCTGGCCTTCTCCATCTGAACATCCTCATCCTCGTTCAGCCCTTCTTCTGGGTTCCTCTCCACTTTGGGCTTTGACTTGGATGAGATCCTGTGAAGGTTTAAATAAATACATCAAGGTTGGCTCTGGGTCAAACTATTTTTTTTACAAATGAATTAAGGTTTTTAAATTGCTTATCTGACAAATCTGGTTTTGTATCTAGATCTAAAATCACTATAATGCATCATTATAACCTGAACTCGAACTACCAAGAGTCTCAATTCAGACTGTTTGTGTGAAATAGAATATAGAAATAAACCTTCTGAGTGCAGAGGCTCTGTGTAATCTGAGTTATGAACTGAAATCTGAACATCACCTGCAGAACTGATCGTTTTTCATTGTCCTCCCTCCGTAATGGATCTCCAGCCAACGAAGCAGGAACAGCAGCAGGATGCACTGGAGATAGGGCTGAGCACAGACACAGGCACATAAGCATTATAGTCACACCACAAACTTTTACAGTCTCTGTTTTTTGAACATAGCGCTGTTTGGCCAAACGTTTTAAAATAAGACACATACAGCTATGACCGCAATGAGCAGGTTTTTCCATAAGTAGCTATCCTCGTACAGAGAGGGGAGGAAGGTCGCCTGTAAACGTGAAAAAAAACAAAAAAAAAACACAGCTTAATCCAGGTTTAAAGACAAAAAGGCAGACAGAGAAACCACTGAAAGAACTGCCTGATTGCCCTGGTTGAGCTCCTACCCTGGTGATGCAGTTGAGGCAGCCCATGAGAGGGTACAGCGGGTTGAAGAAACATAGGATGTTGTGCAGGTTTCTGGTCAGTCCGAGGTTGTCGTTCACAACTGACAACTGAACCAGCGAGGCAGACACCACACACACCTGAGGCATAAGTCACGCAGTTAGTAAGCAAAACTCTTTCACCACGTGTACAATATGACAGCAGAGCTGTGAAGGTAGGCAGCGATCATAGTTATTAATCTCATGATTTCAGGAACACATTTTGGAAGGTGGTTGCGCCTGTATTTTTTTAATGCCGCCTCACCATCATGGAGATGACAGAGAAGAAATCCCTGTTGCTTTGGACTCGAGCGAAGCCAAAAGAAAACACATAAGTGAAGAGGATCATGGCTGGACCAAAGCCAACAGTACACAGGACCTAAGAGAGGGGAGAAGAGACGTCATGTAAAGTGACTCAATGGTAATATTTCACATTTCATGAATATTGCAATATGTAATGTATAGCGTATCATATGTTTGCTTTTAGAATGTTTTTAAGTCTTAACTAAGACTTTTGTCTGAAGGTTAAATCTAGATATGTCAAAAAGGTGGAATAGAGAGGAAGGCTTTCCGCAGTAATTAAGGTATTGTTGTCCAAGGAATGGAAGACGAGTGGTACACATTATAATCTTGACAGAACAGACCACAGCGGTGAGGTTGCTGGAAGAGAGCAGGTCTTCAGTGTGGAAGGAGAAGAGGATGATGGTCATGCAGGAGAGGATGAGGTAGTAGAAGGGGATGTCCACAGCTGCCTGCCCGCACCAGTAGGCTGACGGTACCAGACCAGAGATACGCAGCGTAGAGCGACACTTGATCTGCAGAAGAAAAGAAAAAAACAACAGGCAAATATGCCGAAATCACTACATTTTAATATATAGGCCAAAATATCTGACATGTACTGCATTATTATACTGATTTCTAATAAGCAGAGAGGACTTTCTATGTGCTCTATGAGAGGGACAACAGAAACTCAAAATTAAGAAATCCACCAAGCTGTACGTGTACATGCTTTAAAGTACAATTTATTTCTTCTTGCAATGGCTGGACAGATGAAATAATCATTAGAATCACATCACTGGGAGTAAGTGATTACCTCTCTGTCTCGTGTGTGGTCCATTGCGAAATATGCAGGCATTCCAGCTGCCAGCATTCCCAGTATGATGGCCTCTATGTACACCAGAGCGAAGGACGTGGCATCTGGGATTTGCTGAGGGATCAAAACATATAGCATCTTTAAATGGCACTGGGATATGGGATAGATAAGAGCTGCGTCACCTGACTCTGTCAAACACTCACATAATCAAACGGTTTGGTCCAGGTTCGGATCTGTCCAGTGCCATTCAGGCCTCTTAGGAGAGTGTTGCTTAGTATATTGACAGCCATAGGCAAGGAGTGAACTGTGGTGCTGTTGAACGCAATACTGTAACTGAAACCCTTAACAGACAGAAGAAAAAGTGTTAAAGAGTGTCACATGTTGGCAGGTGAACTCCACTACATCTAAATATAAGGCTCTCTGTTTGAGAGTCCTCTAACTAAGGGGCCCTTCATCAGGAGCACTACTGCCACATTAACTGCAGGTGGAGGCGCTACAGGACATGTGAGTCCACATCTGATGCTTTATCTCCAGTTCCATCAAATATCTGGTATCAAAAGATGAATATTACAATATTAAAGTGACCTTGCTGGATCCTGTTACGTTGATGGCGGCGCTGTGGGGAGCTGCAGACATGTAGTCGCTGTGTTTCATCATCTCCACCTTGATGTCCTGAGACTCCAGATTGTGGATGAAGTCAGAAATATCAGAGTCTACTGGCACAAAAAAAAAAAAGCACTGCTTAGTTAGAACTGTGCCCTTGGGACAAATCTTATCGATTATGATGTACTGTGTTATTTAACAGTTGTACAGCAGTCAGTATCCCATCACAATGTTTACAGCATCCAGCACTTTCTGAAAGAAATCAATCTGAAGTCCATTGAGAGGACAAACCTGAAAGCAGACTTAGAAAAATATAATTGAAGGTCTAGGTTTCAGCCGTACAGCTAAACATCCTGATGCAAAATATCAGCTATCATCATGTTTCCTCCCAGGTGTCCGGCAGACTCACCTGAGCTGTTCTGAACCAGGAGGCTGGTGGCGTACCTCTGGGGCGCCTGGTTCCGTTTGAGGAGGTAAATGGGCAGAAACTGACGTTCTGGGGAGTGAATCTGGATGTTTCCTGTGGCCAGAGAAAGGACGAGCACTGCAGCAACAAACACCAGGAACAAGGCCAGACTGCAATAGAAGGAAGGTGGTGAGGAAAGACAGGATCAGTGGAAGGCAGTGTTTTACAGAGTCTTTGCAATCCTACAGCAGAATATAAACCTTTTAACCATACATATTTTTAAATTATATCTTTGATCAGCTTACATCTGATATAATGAAAATATATTTTAGCAAATTAAATATTAGCAAACATCGGTAGAATATATTAAAAATCTATAAATAGAAGCAAGGGCTGCACTAATATGGCAAAAATCATAATCACAATTATTTTGGTCAATATTGAGATTACGATTATTTAAGACAAATTAATCAATGACTCAGGAATCATCAACTTTTAAAATTGAATGCTTCATTTTTTAAGGATTATATATGCAAAACCCAAATGCCCATGAAATGCAAATAGTAATCCAACATTCTTCACTTTAAACAGCATCTTAGAGGTAAGAGGATGACAGCAACACAGTGTTTGCCTAAGTTTAAGTTTGGGGCGGGCGGACGTGCCGCCAAAGGGCTCTGTGTTGGTGGGTGGGCCTAGCAGGTGACAGGTGAACTACTCGAGTAGCGATTCAACCTTGGTGTTCTGTCAGGATATGCAATGACTTAATGCAATGGGAACGGACAGACCCGGTACGGGGATGTAATCGATTTTCGCTGTTCTAGCTGTTTTCCGTCCAAAAACAGCGGCGCTTTATGTCCACAGAGATCGTCTGGCGGGCTGCCATCTTGGTGAGGTCGGCTGCGGTCTTAAGTTTTGTTTGTGTCATGAGGTATGAGAGCAGAAGAAGAGTGTGATTTGGCAGAGGCGATCTTTATCGGTCTCTGCTGGCGACCCGTAGGAGCTACACAGACATGCAGGATGTGCCTGCGATACGAACAAAATGAGCCCACCCACAGCCCTGTAGGATGTTCTGTTCTCAAGCTGTGGGCCTGTAAGCTTTTGGTCATTTATATTGAATGTTTATTTCAATGTTTTGGAAGCTTTTTGTTATTTGGAATGTGACTGTATGGAGAGAAATAGTGTTTTGAAGATAACTACCAATAAAAGAACATATAAACAGTAAATATGGCCAAAACATGGGAATTCGCCTGGTATATTTTTGAAAGATTGTGTAATAACTGTTGTATATTAGTTTTTTTCATCAAATTTACAGTCACAGTTGTATTCCAGGTGTATCAGAAGTATTCAGGTGCATTATAATCTACCTTATGATGGTTTTGATGGTTTACTGCATCAAAATAAAGCTTTTTTTCCCACCAGGCGAGGATGAAAATACCATATTTTTTCTGTATTTCATATCCATGTAGTCTGTAATGGTAAAATAAATATGTTAATGTACAATGGATTTATAATCCTTAGCTATGACCTTTCAAAGGAGACCAGAATTATGCATCTAGGCCTAATGGTTGAGGAGATATTATGATTTATTTTGGATATGCTATTTTAGGCGTTTTTGTTAGAAATAGGTGCCAGGTACCGATGGTGAATAAGAAATTTAATCTGTTAAACAACGAGCAGACAGCAGGCGCCGCTGCAAAAGAAAGGGGTGCGCTGGATTCATAACAAAACTAGAGTATCATTGCAAAACAAAAAGCGGGACAAATACGTTTTATCTCAATTATTATCAATTATCAACTGTAAGATAGTTTCAGTGGTACTGCTGTTATTCTGTCGTTACAATCTGAGTAATTGTGGTTTAACATTTTAAAGTAAATCAAGAAACATCTGGCTCGTGATGTAGCCTACAGAACATTCTCCACTTATATAGTTATAATCACTTTGGAAAATAAACTACAGAAGTATTATCAAAGGAGGCTGTTGCTTTATTATTCTAAACAGACATTACATTTTTAGTGTACAGTTGTGGTTATAGTTTAATATACTTTTATTTATATAGTTCCAAAGCAAAAATCTTTGTTAAAAAGTTCAGAGTTTTAAAGTTAAAATCTACTTGGCGATAAATCAGATTGTGAGCTTATTGTGTTGAAGACCAGTAACTCACTTGAAAGATATTTAATTAATAATCAAATAAATAATTTACAGATTAGTCAACTACAAAAATGATCATTAGTGCAGCCCCATTATACAATTTGCTCTTGTCATTCAGTACGATTGTGATAAAAGTTACAATGAAATTCAACATGCTGATGAAAACAACATTTGTAGAAACAACAAATTTTCTGTCCACTGTCACGTGTCTTAGTACCAAATAACTGACCTGAAGCTGCTTCTTTTCAAATTGTTGTCTCTGCAAACTCACGTGTAAATGAAGGCCTTCCTCTCCTGTGCATGTTGAGCATGTGCAGCCAGGCCACGGTGCTGAACTGCTGCCGCCACAGAGCCTGACCCGACACAACATCTGACTTGCTGTCTGAGAACGTCAGCAGCGCTGGTTATATCGTCCACAGAGGCGTTATCACCCTCATCCTCCGCCTGTTCCCGATTAAACACACTGTAGTCTGAAGATACGAAAAAAAAAAAATACAGAGAAATACTCGTTGGGCAAAATAAGTCATTTTAATGAATTAGGGAGTCGTCTTGTGTGCAACAGTACTGCTCGCTACTCTGGTTCCACACTCACCAGCTTGGTCACTTCAGCCTCTGCCTCCAAACGAAGAAA